CGAGCCTGACATATCTCGAGTTCGGCGGCAACCGCATCAGAGTAAGTCGGAAGCAAATGCATCGCTCAAGTCGCTGATCTCGTTGCTGCAGGCGATTGAGAACTTGCCGATCAGCGCAAACTTGCAATCACTGTTCCTCGGAAAGAACAAAATCACAAAGCTCGAAGGTTTGGACGGATTGACCGGCTTGCGGACGTTGAGCGTGCAAAGTGAGCCATCGTCAATCGGCAAGGGCGAGTCTCCGGTTGACAGGTTGTCTGCAGGTAATCGGTTGACCAAGATCGAAGGCCTCGACACTCTAGCAAACCTTGAAGAGCTTTACCTTTCGCACAACGGTCTCACCAGAATAGAGGGTCTTCGCAACAATGTGCGTTGGTGCCATGAAACAAAACACGCCTCAACTGACGCATTTCTGAGTACAGACCAAGCTTACAACACTCGATGTCGGCAACAATAAGATTGAGCAAGTCGACGTTGAAGAGCTGAGTGCTTTGACCGAACTCGAGGAATTTTGGGTGAGCCCTGAGGCCTGCAGCGTAGACAATCCGAGCTCAACGTTCGCTGCAATAGGCAAACGACAATAAGATTGCGGTGCTACCAGTGTTATCAGAGACAGCACACCCCGAGCTCTCGACGGTTTATCTCGAAGGCAACCCTGTGCAGAAAGAGCTTGCAGGCGCATATCACCGCAAAATTATGCTCGAGATGCCACAAGTCAAGCAGATTGACGCTGTGTATGTCAGAAGGTAGTGCAGAGTCTTCTCGTGTTGTAGAACGCTCCCTGTCTCCCGAGAGGCCTGAGCGTCGGTCCGGCTGCGAACGACTACGACCTGTGAGCGATCGACTGCCCGAGCACAAGACGTTGCATGTAGACCTTGTGAGGCAGGCATGACAGTGACTGGCCCGAGACGGTCGTTGATACAGTCGTTCAACTTCTGCGTCAAACCGACGGCTCCCATCGTTACTTGCCGTCACAAAGGACCGGGCCCTAGTAAATCAGCAATTCATCTGACCATGTCGCGGTCTTATGATGGGGCTGGAAGCAGTGTGTCGCCCCCGCCTGGTGCGCGCGCCGACGCGTCATTTTCGTTCAGCACCGACCCCTTCAGGCCGCACAACAGGCCCGCTGACGCGTCATTCAACGTCAGATCGAGTGAATTGAGCAAGCAGGCCGACCTGAGTACGTTGTCGCTCTCGCCGCGTCGACCAAAGTCGTCTGCGACATCTGGCGCATCGACAACGCGGCCGAGCAAGCGCACGTCCAAGCAGCAGCGTAGCAGACTGAATCAAGACAGCTTTGACGCCGATGCGGACGCGGCTACCGACGAGCAAGCGGCCGTCAATGGCGATGGCGCTCCGTTCACACTGATTGACCGCATGCGCAATTGGAGAAACGACGCCATGACGCAGCACTTGTACAGCACTGCTCAGTTCTGGGGTAGCAAGGTGTTCCACTTGACGGGTGGGCCCAGACGCGCGCACCGATTGACCTTGTGGGCTGATGGGTGGCGCAACTGTAGCCAATCCAGACGATGCGTTTTGGCTCGCGCAGACACACTTTTTGACGCATCAATATGCTCAAGCCGAACGGATACTGACGGCGACGAGGCCGTCGACTTCGGCGAGCACGATGGCCGGCAGGCTCACCGACACGAGTTTGGCTTGTCGCTACTTGGCAGCCCAATGTCAAGTGCGGCTCGGCAAGTGGGACGAAGCGCTCGAGATGGTTGGAAGGCAAAGTTACCTAGGCGTGGAAGCTTTCAGTCACGGAACAGGCGACGGAGGCATTCGTGTGAGCAAGCGCCCTATTCTGGATCTGGGAACGAGCGCTGACCTGCTTCTCACAGCTCACGGCGTCGATAGCCCATCTCCGAGGCCTTATTCATCTTCATCTCGGCTCAGCAGACCTTGCGAAAGAAGCATTCATTGAAGCGCTGTCGCGAGACGTCAAATGCTTCGAAGCCTTCCAGATGCTCGTCGGCGGGGAGATGATGTCGCAGACGGAAGGTACGTCTGTCTGATCGCTCGGCTGGTCAGAGCTAACACTCTTCGACAGAATGGGAGTTCATTCACAGCCTACCATATTTTGCGCAGACGCCAGAAGACTACGAATTTGTTCAATGCCTGTACACCGTCCGGCTCAAAAAAGTTAGTTCGAAAATTTTGTTCAATGACTGTGCTTACGGCTGCTCCTCCCAGATGTCGCACCGCGCCGAAATGGACCTTGCACGGAGAAAGCTCGCCGACGAGTTTGGTTTGCTAGACGACGCCGACGTCTTGTTCAGTCGAGCAGAGGAGCTGTACACTAGTCTCCAATATGAAGAGGCCTACAAGATCACATCAGTGTACGTAGCTTCGGACGCGAGGTAAGGCTGTCGCTGACGATCCTGCAGCATCATGGACAAGCATCCCTCGCACAAGTCGACGTTGCCTGTCCATCTCGCGTGCATGCAGAGTTTGCCTCACCTGCGGTCAAAACTGTTTTTGCTCGCGCACGAGCTTGTCGACAACGACCCGGACGACGCCATTGCTTGGTACGCCGTTGGCTTGTGGTACTATTCCGGGCACCGGTGGGAAGAATCGCGGCGGTTCTTTGGGTTCGTTACCCGTGAGGCTTGAGTCTGAGGGCCTGAGCTGACGATGGCTCCGCAGCAAATCTGTGCTCATCGACTCGCGGTTCGGTCCGGCATGGCTCGCATTCGCTCACTCTTATGCGTTTGAAGGGGAACATGACCAGGCCATTACAGCGTATTCGACAGCGTTGAGGCACCTGCAGGGGTCGTATCTACCCCTCCTTTTTATCGGCATGCAACACCTCAGCCTGATGAATCTGACGCTCGCGGACGAGTACTTGACGACTGCCAACAAGTCGAGTCCAGACGACCCGCTTGTCGTCAATGAGCTCGGGGTCGTTTCGTTCCAGAATGGCAAGTATAAAGATGCGCTTGCCTTATTCAAAAGAGGTCTCGCCCTGTCACGCAAAATTAAGGCGGTTTCGACGCAAGACGTAACGACCTATATCAACCTTGGTCACACGTACCGCAAACTCGAGTGAGTTCAGTCATTCCCAGCGTGACGTGGCTGACGTTATGACCGCAGCCAACTCAAGGACGCCGCATGGTGTTTCCGGCACGCCATCTCAATTTCTCCCCGTTGTGCCCCTGCGTACAGTGCGCTCGGCTTGGTTGAGCATCGCCTCGGCAACTTCCAGGACTCTATCAAGCGCTATCATGAGGCGCTCGGCATTGCACCTCATGATCCTGTCGCTTGTGACTTGCTCAAACTCGTACTAGACGACGTCGCGTCTGCCATCTCGACGCAGTCGCTGCCGTTCCCTGGCTTGCCCGCTCAAACACTCAAGAGTATCGACGAGCGCGTGAACGAACTCGATAGAGATATTTTAGATGGCGTGGAGCCGGAATTGAGCGATGACGAGGGAGACAGACCCAGCATGGATGTCAGCGCGTCAATGGATGTTTCCATGTGAAGCGCAGAGAGATGCTTATAGTAAGCGGCGACGACACCAGCAACAATTACAGATCACAGTTTGCAGCTGCTACATGAATCGGCGCGGATTTCCTGTCATTAGATCAAGTTGTGAATTGTGATCGCTGTTGTATTGCCATTCAAGGAGTCGAAAAGGTGTCACTTAGGCCCACGGGTCGCATTCCAATTCAAGTACATCTGAAGTGTCGCTCTGTTTGTCGGATTTGTGATGTCACGATTTCAGGCTCGAGGCCCTAGTCACATGCGCTGATTCTGCGCCATTCGCCGTGCTCTTCACGTCAGCGAATGCCAAGTGGAAGGAGTGAGCTCGAGGTTGATGTGATCAGGTTCTCGCGCGCCCAGGTCCGACTCTCCATGTTCTGCCCATTGCTGCACTTTCTCCTCCTTGATTCTTAACGCTCGGCTCAATTATCAGCACAAAATTCTTTTCTTCTTCTAAACAAACTATGCATTGAAATTGATCACTTGGTCGTCTACAGGATAGAACGGGGGAAGAACAAAAATCTATCACGGACGAAGAAGACAAAGTTCATACTGTCGGCGCCGACAGTAAGGCATGCAGCGTCGAAAGTGGATTTATAGAGGTCCGAGCGCGTTGGTGTATAGACCTGCACCCACGCCCACCACGACTCTTCCCGCTCCCGCTCTTGCGTCTCAGCTTCAGTGAATCTTGATCCATACGCATTCTTACTTGTCCCTTCACTCTTCATTCTCAAATACTTTATCTTGCTTCCCTTCTCCCGAAGTGTAGGAATCTATCAGCATTTGGTGCCCACTTGCAAAGTGAACGCAAATGCGGCCCCTTGCAACAAAGTGGCCACGTCACGCGTGACGCCCTAGAAACCCAAGAGAGGAACAGAACAAAGGAATCGGCTTCAATCGCGAAGTCGACAACGGGCCAAGTCTTGCTGAATCAATCGAGCTAGGCGTGCTAAAGAGTCGTACGAGATTGGTTCCGGATCGCGGATCCGCTTCCAGCGTCTATCGGCTGCCGCGGTGAGAGTGTAGTGAACAAACGAGACCACGTGCGCAAAACGGCCAGGTCGATCCTCTTGGACGTCGGAAAAAACGATCGATTCAAGTGCCAGAGGCCGGGCGCGAGGGAAGGCAAGGTGCCAGAGACGACGAGTACGAGGGCAGTGGACGACCAGGTGTTGGAGCGTCTCCGCAACCCCCGGGCCATTTGAAAGGCGCTCGCCACCACCGCAGGGAGTGCATGCTGGTAGATTGTTCGGAAATGTGTGGAGCCAATGCCCACCAAAACATCGGAACAGAGTTCAACTCGAAAGATTCGATTTAGAAGTAATTCCAAAATCATTTTTTTTTTTCTAAACAAACTATCCAAAATCAGGTCTAGGATGTTAGTTTGCAACTAGCAATTGGCGGAAAATCGGTTGAAAACCTCATGTTTATCCGCGCGTGCCCGAGCACAAAGGCGGTCACGTGACTTTTATCATTAGATTATATAAGTTTGACTGTTTGGTGCCCGCTGAGCCCCAATGGCCAAGCGGTTACGGCACTGCACTTGTACATTATGACATGCAGAGATCGGTGGTTCAAATCCGCCTTGGGGCTGTCATTCTTTTTTTGGGTTGGTTGCGTTCTGCAGCGCTCGCAGCCCATGGAGAGAAAGCAAGGCTGTCGTTCCACATGCAATATGCAACATTGGATCAGCATCGCTGGCTTTTTTTTTTTTGGTCTCCCTTCTTCAGGCGATGGAGGCGTACCCTTTCATCGCACCTGAACAAGCGGAAACGGTGACGGCCAGTGACATTCATGAGCGCCTACAGCACAGCTGTGAGAGCCAAGATCCTGGGGCTGCAACAGTTTGCAAACACGAAACCGACGAGACGGGATGTTCATGTACCGACGAAAAGCGGCTGTGCTTAAGCTTTCGACCTCATCCAAACAATGCGTTGTGTCATTCAGAATAGACTAGTGTTACGGAAGTTGACCCTCATCCATTCTAGCAGTATGGGCGAAGACTGTGCTGACGCACATGCTTTCTCCCGAAAATTCTGCGAGCGTCACATTTTAGGAACGCATCACACCGCTACTAAATAATTGGGTGGGATGCCTTTCTCGGTGCGGGTTGTCTCGACAGAAATGCCGGCAACTCTTCTTCGCGTATGATTCCTGAGCACGAATCGCGTGGATGCCCGTCCTGAAATCTAACGTCGCTTACTTGGCTGAGATTGAAGCCGCGATATAGAGTTACACAGGAGGAGAGGCTTGTTCGTCGGAATGACGATGTGGGTGAAAGGATACTTGGCTACTTTATCCGCATTGGTCAGCCTGATGCTGTCGCCAAAACTTGCCCATCTCGGCATGCCGAATCATACTGGCCTAGCAAGTGTGACTGCTTGGAATTGATTTCTGATGTCAGAGATGAAGAAGAGCGTCAAAGACGCGAGCCGGTTCGGGTGCAGGATACCCATTTTGTTGAAATGGAGAGGAGCTGCATGTCGGAAGTTTGCCTGGAAGGGAGGGCTCGTGGTTTATCAAATCGATTTCTACAGCAATGGTGCCGCGTGTCAAGTGTGTGGATCTAACAAATATCTCGAGAGGCAGCTGGCATTGCTGCCTGAAACTTGGTACGTTTGGTATCTTCTTCTGCGGCAATCACGATGCTTACGAGCCACGGGCGACAATCGATACACCAATCTACCTGGAACTGAATGAAGCCCGGTGGTTTCTATCAACACGCGCCATCAGCTGAGGCCACCGTCTCGTTCGAGCAGCCTGAGCATTGTGTCAACGACAGCCACATCGCCCTCTGCGCGACGCTGTCAGCGAGATTTCAGACTTTGGCTCAATCACTCACGCCTGGGATCCTCGATGCGCCGCTCGAGGTCTTGATCTAACAACTCTCGCAGGCCATTGATCAGAACACCAATCCTCGGCCACGCTCGCATCTTGACGCCGCCGACTTCGACGCCCCTATTCAGATCGACCGACACTTGACCTCCAAAAAGCAATACTCCATACAGTGGCACCTCGGTCACATCGCGCAAGAAAGGCTTTGTTGTAACTTGCTTGTTAAAGTACGTGACAAATGGCGTCTGAAAATTGGTCTCTTGAAACAATAGGGAAGTCGGGTGCGGAAATACGCGGCCCGTCTCTTCGAAGAACCGGACTTCTTTTGCGTCGCGGTCACGCTGGATTGCTCCAGAGCTGCCCATGTCGTATGTTGCTTGCGGCAGTCGAACGCGTACGAGACGAGCAGTCCCCGCGAACACGATCGCTTTGAGTAGGTTTTGATTGTCCGAGTTGATATTGGCGTTTGCTTTACCCACCAATCCAGCGTCTGTGAGCGCGTTCAGATACTCGTACTTGAGCTGCAGAACGTCTCGGAAAGTCGAAAGAGAGACAAACTGCAGGAAGTGTCAGCAAAAACCACCAGAAGACCGCGAAAGCTCACGTTGTCTTCGGCAAACGACCGCAGCCGGCCCATGCCCTCTTTTCGCGCTTGCATGCAAGCCTCAAACGCGACAGAGTCGCTCAACAGGTCGGAACGCGAAGTATAGTACTTGCTGCGAGCTCGCTTGGCTTCATCGCGCTTGTCCATCGGATTGAGAAACAGCGGCTTGCTCGAGAGGATGGCGGCAATTGTGAGGATCTGAAAGCGAGTCAGGACACCGTCTGGCAATATTCGAGGCCACTCACGGGGTCAAGACAGCGAAATACGGCCGCCAAAACAAGCATCTGCACCTATTGTAAGCGGCTGTTCAAAACCGCGCGACCGCCAGCTCACCTTGCCGAGCCGAAGATCAACCGGAATCATAGCCAGGTGCATACCGAGGGGCGTTAGTCTCGCCGTCATGCCGCCTTCGCCGACAGCCCCAAGCAGCTTGAGCGTCGACCATGCCGAGTCGATTGCTCGCACGTCTGGTGGACTAAGTGCCTTGCTCAGGAATGATTTGACGTCTTCGTCCGCGCGAACCGACTTGATCTGAAGGCACAAGGACTCGAGTGGTGTGCGTAGAATCTCGGGCGTCGGATGCTCTGCCATGAAGCGGTCCTCGATCCAGTGCGTAAACAGTTCTGTGAAACCAGTCAGATAAGGTCCAAGTACGCGCGATCACACTCACTGTAGCACTTTCCAGGACGCGTTCGACCTGCACGACCACGTCGCTGTCTTGCGCTCGCCTTGTTTGTCCAGCCTTCGACCAACCTCGTGATGCTCGTCTCAGGGTCAAACTTGTTCTCCTTGACTCGGCCGCAGTCGACAACGTAAACAATGCCGTCGATAGTGATTGACGTTTCTGCTACGTTGGTAGCGATGACAACCTTTCGATGACCAGGTGCGGTACGCTTGAAGACTCGCATCTGCTCTTGCGACGTCAAATTGGCGTGCAGAGGCAAAACTTCAACCTTCTGTCGCCCTCGCACGGCCGTCTCGACCGCGTCCACGGCTTGTCGGATTTCCAAGACACCGGTCATAAACACGAGCACGTCGCCGCCGACATCCTCCGACTCCATCAAGCAATGAGCCACGGTCGCACCGACGAGCTCGAAATCAATCCGGTTGGCTCGCGTCAATGTCTCGAGTGACAAGAGGGCACGCTCGTCCGTTACGCCTCGCTCGATGAAAGTTTGCCTCATGTGGTCGAGCTCGGCTTGCGACGCCTTTGTCACCGGCCTGAGGCCTGAAGGAGCGTAACCGCGCAGTTGCGGAACAATGTCTTCCAAATAAGAATCTTGCACCGGATGCGTGAATCTGCAGACGTAGTTTGAGCGCCACAATATTTCAAGCGTGCGTTGTGGTGGTTTACCCTGGGATCTCGATGCAAGGCGCGCCGCCAAAGTAATCTGAAAACTGACGTTGATTGATGGTGGCCGACATCTATCGACGGTCCTCGTGTAAGCATAAGACTTGCCCTAGAGGCCAAAAAATGCTTACCAAGATAACCTTGATTGAAGAATTGCGCCTGAGAATCTCTCGCAATTCCAGCAGCAAAAAGTCTGAATCGACGCTCCGCTCGTGTACCTCGTCAATGAAAATGTGAGACACGCCTTCGAGGTCTGGGTCACCTCCTCGGGATAATCGACTGAGCACAACACCGGTTGTGCAAAACAACATTCTGCATTCTCTTGAAGACTTGCGCTCGCCTCTGATCGCGTAGCCGACGAGCTTGCGAGACTGTTCGTCGTTGATGTCCTCGAGCATCTCGGCTGCGACGCGAGAGGCCACACCGATGGCCGACACGCGACGGGGCTGAGTGACTACAATGTTGACGGACGCGCCTTGGCCGTTCAAAATGGCGTCCTCGAGAATGAAGCGAGGCACTGCAGGAAATTTCAGCACGACGCCGGTTGAAGCGTCTCAGTGCAATCACAGCTGGTTTTGAAGAAGTAATCTTACCTTGCGTCGTCTTGCCGCTACCCGTCTCTCCACTGACAATCACGACACGCGAGCGGCTGTTCTTGACGAGCTTGACGAGTGCTTCCCGCATCGACCACGCGGGCAATTTACTGCGCACGTCAGTCATAGACTTGAAAGCTGATTGACTCGCGACAGACTGCCAATGGTCCAGCAACGCTTCATGGTCCTGCGGTGTCGCCATGCGCTGTCTTCTCGGTCCGCGCTGTTGTGGCTGACGGGTGGCAGAGCTGCTGGGCGCCAATATAGGTTGTGACGCACGAGCCTTGACCGGCTCGAAGTAACGCATGACGTGCTTTGGCTCGGGCGGGTGGTTGACGTGATGGGCAATGTTGTCAACGAGATAATTTACCATTTCGCCGACGAGTCCACCGAGACCGGCGCGGGCCAGTTCGAGCCATTCATCTTCTTCAAATTGCTGAGCGACGAGCTGAGTGAGATACAACCGGATGTACGCTGGAAGGCCAGGGGCGCGGACGGTGAAAGTTGGGAGGTGCACGGAGACAGTTTCCTCGGACGGGTATCTCGAGCTTGGGTGCAGGAGGATCCGCAGAGAGACTGTTCCCCGCACGACATCAATTTCGAACCCGTCCTCTAGCTGGTGGAATTGGTTGCCAAATATTCCCTCAAGTGCCATCAGCTCGTCTTGCCGCCTTGCATCGAGATCAGCGTCATTGACCGCTGGCGCTTCAGTGTTCCAGCTCTGAAGTACAGCCTCCTCCCTCAAACTGGCATCTCCACATTCACTGACGGCATTCCAACCGCACAACCGTCGAAGCAAGATGTCAATCGCCCTTCCCTCCTCGCCATTGACTGTGTCGATTCGCATGACATCCTCTACATGTTGAACAGGCACGCCAAAGTCTTTTGCCACTTTTTCAGCCATCCACAGGCGACCGAGCGCATCGCTGTCCTTGCTTGTTGCGATCCGTGCCGTCGCATCCGCAGGTCTGCTCTGGCGATAGCTTACGGGCAAGTCATCCTCTGGTACGTGCAGGTGCAGGTGTGACAAGAGTGCTTGACGGTACGCAGGCGCGGCTGTATCGATCCGAGTGGCTCTCAGCCTCTGAACTGCGGTAAGAACGTGCCCTCTGCGGAATCCTTCGTCGACAAAGCGCTCGAGAACAAACGATTCATCTTCTGAGAGCGGAACGTCTTCGTCAAAGTGCTGCCGCTTGTTCAGGCCATTAAT